ATTTCACTAGCATGATACTCTCCATGACCATCCATTTATAAGTAAATTTCATAACTTCATCTTTTCTTACAACTGCATAGTATTCTATTGTGTAGATGTATCAAAGTTTCTTTAACTAGTCGTCTGTTCTCAGGCACTCGGGTTGTTTTCAGATTCTGGCTCTTGTAAACAGTACGATGCAAGGGTTTAACCTGGGATCAGTTGCAGGGCCAGAGAGATAGGACAGTGGGTAAAGTACTTACCTTTCATGCATCCAACCTGGGTTCAATCCCTGGCATCCCATAGAGTCTGCAAAGCACCCCCAGGAGTTATCCATGAGCACCGAGCTAGGTCTAACCGTTGAGCATTGCCAGAAGTGATCCAACAACCAAAAAAATTTTTTTTAAATTTAAAAATAAACTGGAGTTGGGACTGGAGAGATAGCACAGCGGGTAGGGCGTTTGCCTTGCACGCAGCCAACCCGGATTCGATTCCCAGCATCCCATATGGTCCCCTGAGCACTGCCAGGAGTAACTCCTAAGTGCAGAGCCAGGAGTAACCCCTGTGCATCGCTGGGTGTGACCCCAAAAGCAAAATATATATATATAAAATAAACTGGGGTTAGTTGCATTCAGGGCAAGCTCCTTAATTCCTGTGCATTCTCTCCAGCCCTATCTGAAAGACACGTGTATTCTCTTGCGAAATTTGTTTTCCATTTTTTTTTCCTTTTAACTGTGAAATTTATTAGAAGCTGGATATTGGACCTTCAAACTTTCTTGGGGTTTGTTTGTTGGTTTGTTCTCACTTACTGGGACAACCCTGAAACTTTATCCCAGGAATTGGTGCTTTTATTTTAGCTTGACTACTTGGGGGTGAGGGGTAGAGCATATGTCCATGCTGAGAAGCGACTCCTAGATTGGTGCTCTGGGGGGGGGGGCTCTTCTGACAGTGCTTGAGGGACCATGCACTCCTGCGTGCAAAGCATGTACTCAGTTGGCTCCTTTATCTTTAACTTCAGCAGCTTTTTCTTGTTTTCAGTGTTCCTTCCTTTTGTACCCCACTCTGTCTTATAGTCACTCTGTGATTTTAGATGATTTTCTATAGTCCCTGCATTCTCTTTGCTTCATTAGCTACCCCCTTTTCTGTTGCATGATCTGTTTTCCATGTTAGGTGGGTGCCTCCAGTTTCTGATGACTTGGCTTTTTGCCAACACATCAATGCCAGACACTATGCCACCAAGAGCCTCAGTGTGACTCTCGGCTGATGGCCCCTCCCCGAAGGCCGGTGGTTGGTCTGGCATGCTGGAGAGAAAAGATGGTGCTGGAACTGCCTTCATGACAGAACGTTTAGTTGAAGACGTTTCCTCAGAGGCATCAGCCAGAGCAATCTCTTCCCAGCTCTGGATGGCGGATGGGCTGAGCTGAGCTGCATAAAGTCTTGCAGAAGGAAACACTGCCTTCAGAGAGCAGACGTTCACTGATTCATTTGAACCACTTGCCTCTCCACCTCCATTCAATAGAGCCCTAAGTTAGGGTTCTCTGGTTCCCTGGGGCAGATGGAGAGGTAGAGCTGGATGTGTGAAGATTTTCTGTGAGTTAGAAAGGACCTAGGAATCTAACTACTTGCTGACAAAATTGCAGCCACTGCCTCTGCTTTCTTTCTAGGCCAAACTTCACCCCCATCCTTAGCAGCATCTTTTTAAAAAATTCTTTTAAGTATTTTGAAACATCAGTTTCTTTCTTTTTTTATTTATTTTTGTTTTTATCTTTGGACCACATCTGGCAATGCTCAGGGGTTGACTGGCTCTGTACTCAGGAATTACTCCTGCTAGATCTTCAGCGGACCATATGGGATGCCCAGGATCGAACTCAGGTTGGTCACATGCAAGGCAAGTGCCCTACCTGCTGTACTATATCTCTCCAACCACACTGGCAGCATCTTCTACTTTCAAGTCCAGGGCTTTCTGGAAGGTTCCAAGATAAACTGGCTTGGTGTTTACTTCTGCAGACACACAAGATTTTAGCTTCCTGTGCTCTATTAACTAGGCCAGCCTTCTCCCTTCACTTCCCTTCTTGACTGATGTGTTCTAGTTCAAGGCTTCCCTTCTTAGCGGTCACCTCTTATACTCTCTATTTTCAGACATTTAGATTCATTTTTTAAAAAAAATCCTCAACTCAAATATTAGTGAATTTTCAGGAAGTGGAGGAAAATGATTATGCTGCTGTAAATTCACTGAAATTTCAACTTAAGCTTTCACAATGAGTTGCATTTGAAATGAGGGTCCATTCCCAAAGAGGCATCCTGTGATGTAAGAAGTTTTCACATCTAGGAGCCAGAGTAATAGTAGAGAGGGTAGGGCACTTGCCCTGCACACAGTCAACCCAGGTTCAATCCCTATACCCTAAACTCTGCCAGGAGTGATTCGTGAGCACAGAGCCAGGAATCAACTCTGAACATACTGGGTCTGGCCCCCAAACAAGCAAGCAAACAGAATAATGTGAAACAAGAAGTTTTAACAAATAGGACATTTTGCAAACCGTTTAAGACTCTTTTTGCCTATTGCATAACCTTACTGAACAAGAAAGATTTGGTTTCTAAGGCACAGCCAGAGATAAAACAAATATCTCCTGAATTTCAAAGGAAGATGCTCTCAGTCCCTTCCTGCCAAATAAACCAGTTCTAAGACTCCACATCCTTTCTTCAATGGATCTGGCAGGTTAATCCCAACTGGGACACATTTGCATCTCCAAACAGATGGAGAAGGCCGCTTTGGCAAAAGACTTCCCAGATGTGTTTGGCTTATAATAAGAGGCATTCCGGTTTGTTTTCACAAAACAGTCTTGCAGTGAATATATTTCTGGTTGCTGAGGAAAATTAGGTTTTCTATTTTTAATTTTTTTTTTATCTTTAGGAAGTTAATTTATCTGATAGTGGAGGTTCTCCCCCTGAGTTAGGCTCACAGTCTGGTTCAAGGAAGCCCGGGTGACACTCAGGAGGTTTGAGTCTGATGAGGAAAATAGACACACGAACAGATGTGGAGCGAAGCTACCCGCAGCTGGGCCCTTGTGGGGAGATGGGGGAGAGTGGGAGGAAAGAGCTCTGACTGGGCAGGGCTGGGAGTTCTGATAAGACGCTGGAGCTGGCGCAATAGCACAGCAGGTAGGGCGTTTGCCTTGCACGCGACCAACCCGGGTTTGATTCCCAGCATCCCATATAGTCTTTCGAGCACCTCCAGGAGTAATTTCTGAGTGCAGAGCCAGGAGTAACCACTGTGCATCGCCAGGTGTGACCCAAAAAGAAAAAAAAAAGATACGGATAATCCTGGATGCTGGCAGGACTGGGACTGAAGAGGAGGTAGGAAGGGGAGGAGGGGTGAAGGAACACTGGCCAAGCACCAGCTCTCTGCCCGGCATCTCAAAGCCTTTTATTGCACTTCCCAACAACTCTAGGCGAGTACCCCACCCCATTCTCTATTGAAGAAGATGGAGGCCCAGATAGGAGAGAGGTTTTTGTTGTTGTTATTGTTATTGCTCCTTTGGGGCCATACCTGGTGGTGTTCAGGGCTTACTTACTCCTGGCTCTGCACTCAAGGATCCCTCCTGGCAGGGTCAGGAGATCATATATTGTGTTTAGGGTCAAACCCCGGTCGGCCACATGCAAGGCAAGTGAACTACCCACTGTCTGATCGCTCCAGCCCCGGGAGAGATTTTGCCCAGGACAATACAGCCAAAGCTCAATGTTACTGCTTCCTCCTAGAACCCACCCAAAGCCGATCCTCTTCAGGATGAGGCCAGTGATGCTGGGCTCTGCCCCTGGGCACAGGTTTTTTAGGCAGGGCTTGTGGTATCTGGGGTGCCAAACTGGGTACATGCTGTACATGGTACATGCATTGGGCAGAGTTGCTCTGTCTCTGGGGCTCACAGCTGTGGGGATGGGATTGAACTCTTGGCCTCTGACCTTACACACAGGCTGGCCACCTTGCGGCCACACCACTGGGTCAGGATGTTTCCTGGAATGCAAGATGACATGGAACGCCCTGAGCCCCGGACACAGGGATTGTATTCGACATGAAAGAGCTCAGGATGAGGGATTTTATGAACAGAGACCCTTCCGGGAGTCCCCTGGCCCACACACTGTTCCTGACTCACTCAAAACAGGCCCTCCTGAGGCCTCATCCCTGGAATTTGCCTTCCACCTGCCTGGCCCAGAGGCAGGAAAACTCCGGCCACTCGGTTTAATGAGATTCACCCCTGCGCTCTCCACGCAAGGATCTTGTTAAATGGGGGTTTGAAGAATCTGGGCTGAGAGGTCCTGGTGTGAGATGCCACCCAGCTGTGCCCGCATCAGTCTTGACACCTTCACTAGGGTCTCCTTGATTAAGCCTGAAGTTTGAACTCGCCCCAGGCAACCATTTCTTAAACCTCCTGCAGGAGAGCAGGTCCAGGGCTTAGGGGCCCTGGATGAGGCATCCTCACCCCCACAGTTCCTCAGGATCCTGGGGCTTGCCTCTGCCCCAGCCACTTCCCATCAGATACCCTCTCCCGTGGCTTCATCTCGAAGTAACAGTTCGCCCCCCTCCCCCCTTCTCCATGCCCTGAACTTCAGTCTCACCCCTGCAGCACTGCCCCTTCACACTCATTGTATCTCAGGGTGTAGATCTGGCCCCATCGAGTGTCTTCTGGGCCCGGAGTCTGCACTTGCTGGTGGGTCTGCAGGCCTGACAGCCTCTGATTGCCAGCCCTTGATTCCTGCCCGGCTCCCTGGTGCTCTACGCTGTGAGGGGGCTGCTCCCTCGGTTGCAGCTCTGCACCGAGTGCTCCTGACAAGGCTCCTTCACCCCTTCACACTGCTCTGCAGCCACCTCTGGGCCCTTCTCCAGGGTCTCACTCTGGCTCAGGCCCGAGTTTAGCCAAGATGCCAGATGACTCCCCACGGCCACCTTACCCGGGAGCTTCAGAGGGGAGCACCGAGTCCCAGGGCCCTCTCCCCGCTACGGAGCCGGCGAGGTACCCGGGGCTGACCTGTGGCGAGAGGCGCCGGGTCCTAAGGAAGAATCCGAGGAGGCAGCCCACCAGCACGGAGAGCACGGACAGGATGAGCAGCCCATTGCGCCGACACACGTCCCGGCCACGCACCAGCACAGTGCCCAGCGCTGTGACCAGCCCGGCCCGCGGGCACTGCGCCCAGCACCATTCCATGCACCCGGCAGTGGGGGACACGCTTGGCACCGCTTCTCCAGAGCCGAGGGCTGCGGCCGCCTGTCTCCGGGCCGCACAATCCTATTACAGCCGCATCACCAGGCCGCGCTAGCGGATTAGGGGCTGGGAAATTAGAGCGGGCCTTGTGGCCTGGGGTCCAGCCTGCGAGCCCAGAGCTTTCATTTTCGTTTGGGGGCCACCCCTCGGGGGTACTCAGCCTACCCCTGGCTCACACTCAAGGGTTGCTCCTGGTGGTTGGAGGGGCACCATGGGTGCCAGGGCTGGAACCAGGCCTCTTGCATTCAGTGCCCAGTCTTTAGCCCTCTGAGCCATCATCTCACCCCAAGAAACCCTCTTGAGAAGGGGAGACCAGAGCAGGCGGGAGGCAGCCCACTTGGCTGCTTGGCTTGAGTGTGAGTCCCGCTGTATCAGAGGGAATGGCACAGCGGGGCCCTGCGGACACTCCTTCAGCTGTTCCTGGGTCCCCGGGCTGCTGGGGGAAGCAGCAGGGAGCCATCAAATCCTCACGCCAGCCCTCAGAAGCAGGTACCTCCAGGACTGTCACTTCACAGGAAGGGACAGGCCAGGAGGCCTTCAATGTGTCCAGCATGTTCATGGTTTTACCTAAGCGACTCCTGGGGGTCACCCAGCAACCCTGAGACCCCGCCTCATTTGCCTGGGAGACAAAGAACAGGCACAGGCCCTGTGGTGTTGGGCTTCACCTGGGCCATCACAGTGGTGTCGGGCCCTCCAGGGCTATACCCTGTAATGCTGGAGGAATAACAAGGTGCTGAGGCTCTAAGGGGGTTAGCTGCCTGCAAGGTCTGCGCCTCAGCCCCTGTGCTCTCTCTTCAGTCCTCTCTGTTATTTTAAAGATGACAATGTCTAAGGGATCCACTTCCTGTGCCACCCTGAGGAGCAAGTCTAGTGCCTCAGTTTTCCCATTTATAAAACATTTCTAAATAGCAACAACTTCACAAGGCTAGTGCCACTTCCTCCCCTCTAAAGAATGTTGTGACTGGGGGCCAGAATGAGACTACAGCAGGTAGTGCTTGCTCTGCACACGGTTATCCCAGGTTCTATTCCCGGCATCCCATGTGGTCCCCCAGTCCTTGACAGAAGTGATTCCTGTGCACAGAGCCAGGAATTACCTCTGAACATTGTCAGGTGTAGTCCCAAAATCAAAAAAAATAAAAAAAGAAAAAGAAAAGAATGCTATCCCCGGCCTTCCATATGGTCCCTTGAGCACTGCCAGAAGTAATAGTAATACCTGAGCATCTCTGGGTGTGACCCCAAAACAAACAAAACAAAACAGAATGTTGTGGCTCTTGAGCACATATGGGAGATGAAAAGAATTCACTGAGAGAATTGTAGGCAGAAAACTTTCAATGGAGAAATAAGATGCAAACATTACAGAGCAGAGACCTGGTATTTTCTCTTGTCCGAGTTTATCACCCCTTCTTGGGTGTGGGCCTCCACCCAGGGGAGGCCGTGGACCTGACTCAAGCCTGGGAGTCCGACCAGGAAGAGACTCTTCTGACTGCTCAGCTGTTTCTGTGCCCACTGCCGAGGACCGTAGCAGTTGCTGGCATTGGCTTGGGCTTTCCCTAGGAGAGCAGAAATACCTGAGGACATCTGAGGGGCAAGCACTGGGCTTCTCTCCCCTCTGCGGTTGCCTGAGATTGACTTTCCTCTGGCATCCTGCACTCTGCTTGTGCCCGGGGAGCAACAGCCTGTTGAGCTTGGCATCGCCCCTGGCCTCCCACTGTAGGGCTTGCTCTCCAGTTCTCTGAGTAGCAGTGAGGAGGCACGAGAGGGGAGGTGCTACTTAACATCAGCATCACGTTGGCATCTGGGGAGGAAGACCTGTTTTTGCTAGTTGGGTTTTTTGTTTTTTTCTACATGGCCTGGTCTGCCCTTTAAAGCCAGAGAGTATTAGCTCCGGCTATTCCTCCCAGATTCTGTAATCTCATTAGGGCAGTCAGGCAGCTGCCCGAACATGCCCAGTGAGGCCTGTGGTAGGGATGGGGCCTCCCCTGAAATTTTTTTTTAATATATATAGGTCTTCTCCCAAGCTGCCCAGGTGGGGTTTCTACTTAGGTCAGAGTCCATTGCTAGGGTGGTTGGGAGAAGTTGATGGTCTTCTTTGATAACCTTATAAAAGTCGATTTGAACAAAGGTAGCATGCTCATATGCTGCCCAAGTCCCTGTACTGTCTGTTTCCATGTTGCTACCCAGCGCATGTGGTACCCCTGCACGTGTGTCGCCTGTATCTGCCCTCTGGAGATGTGTACTTTCATACCTAATGCTGGAATGAATACTGGCGCTTCCTCCTCACTCTGAAGAAGGTTTTGTTCTCTGCTGAATGTATCTGTCTCTCTCTCTCTCTCTCTCTCTCTCTCTCCCTTCCATCTCCCACCCTCCTCACCCCCTCTCCCCTTCCTCAAAACTTCCAAATAAATTCTGTTTTTACTTCAAAAATACACTGGGGGGTTGGAATAGAAAGGCCAAGGACCTATAGGGGGTATGGAAGGAGAAGCTGGGCGCAGGCCCTGAGGCCATGGACAGAACTCCCCACCAGACCCTTTGGTTCTGGCACCAACTTCACCAGTTCTGGGCCTCAATCTTGCCTTCCTTGAAGAAAATTAGCAAGATGATAAGGACCCCCTCCAAGTTCAACAATAACCCATCAACAAACAGACAACTCTGTTGTCTGGGAGTGTGGGGATGGGCAAAGCAAGGCTGAGAGATTGGTTTGCTTTTGTTTGGTTTGGTTTGACTCCAGGCCCTTACTCATTGGTGTTTGGGGGATGATGCAATGGGGGGGGGGGTGAACCCAGCACTTCCACAGAAAAAATATTTGTATTCAACACATCCCTGGTCTTCTGAGATATTTCTCCACTTCCAATTTTTTTTTTTTTTTGCTTTTTGGGTCACACCCGGCGATGCACAGGGGTTACTCCTGGCTCCGCACTCAGGAGTTACTCCTGGCAGTGCTCAGGGGACCATATGAGATGCTGGGAATCGAACCCGGGTCGGCCGTGTGCAAGGCAAACGTCCTACCCACTGTGCTATCTCTCCAGTTTTGACTTAAAACCATGAGTTTTCTGTTACACTTTCAACTCCAACAAAATCCCCAGTTTCCAGTTTAACCAGTGTATAAGTTACAAGAAGAGATAACTTGATTTTGATTTATCTTTCAAGCAAAGTGTAGGCGTGGCCTTCGGTCAAACCATGGGGCAGGTGAGTCTTGATTTCCATTCCAAATCCTTGACTCTGATCCCCACAGGCCCCCCCCCCACTACTGCTCCTGCCTCCTTTTTCTCCCACTCCGAGAGTGCCCCAGCTTCCTAGGCATTTCTTTCTGTGTTTACCACTGTCTTCACTAGGGGAAATAACAATTTATTCAAGCTACGTTCTTATAGGGATAGAGGCATACCCATTGGCGCTCAGGACTCACTCCTGATTCTGCACTCAGCAGTCACTCTGGCAGTGCTCTGGGGACCATACCTGGTGCCAGGAACTGAGCCAGGGTCTGTCTCATGCAAGACAAGCACCTTACAACAAATTAAAAAAAAAAAAGCAAATGGGACAACATAAAATTAAAGAGCTACTACATGGCAAAAGATACAGGCTAAAACAAAAGACAACTAATTGAATGGGAAAAAATATTTTCATTCAACTCATCAGATAATGGTTTAACATCCAAACAAACAACAAACACTGTCCTCCCGTTGTTCATCAATTTGCTCGAGCAGGCCCTGTAACGTCTCCATTTTGAGACTTGTTGTTACTCTGTTTGGCATATCGAATACATCACGGGTAGCTTACCAGGCTTTGCCGTGCGGGCGAGATACTCTTGGTAGCTTGCTGGGCTCTCCGAGAGGGGCAGAGGAATCGAACCCGGCTAGGCCGGGCTGGCTGAATGCAAGGCAAATGCCCTATCACTGTGCTATGGCTCCAGACCGGTTTGACATCCAGTATATATAAAGTATTCACAAAGACCAACAAAAAGAAATTCTAAAAACCTATCAAAAATGGGGAGAGAATCCTGGGAATATATCCCAGAGAGGCAAAAAAGTATAGTCGAAGTGACATCTGCAATTATCTGTTTATTGCAGCACTCTTTACAATAGCCAGAATCTGGAAAAAACCTGAGTGTCCGAGAGCAGGTGACTGGTTAAAGAAACTTTGGTACATTTACAAAATGGAGTACTATGTAGCTGTTAGAAAAGACGAAGTCACGAAATTTACATACAAGTGGCAGACTTTCCATGTCTGCCCCATGGAAAGTGTCATGTTAAGCGAAATGACTCAGAAAGAAAGGGATAGACATAGAAAGATTGCATTCATCTGGGGAACATAAAGTAACAAAGTAGGAGGCTGACACCCAAGAGTGGCCGAGATTAGTACCAGGAATTTTACTCCATGGCTTGGAGGCCAATTACACGTACTAGGGGAAAAGAGAGCTCAGATAAAGAGGGGAACACCAAATAAAGGTGTTGGGAGGATCCTCCCAGGATGGGAGATGCATGCTGAAAGTAGACTATAGACCAAACATGATTGTCACCCATTGCTTCTTTTGCAAACCACAACACCCAATAAGAGAGAGAGAGAACAAAAGGGAATGCCCTGCCACAGAGGCGGGGTGGGATGGGGGGGGATGGGGGGGTGGGAGGGATACTGGGATCCGTGGTGGTGGGAAATGGGCACCGGTGGAGAGATGGGTATTTGATCATTGTATAATTGAAACCCAAGCACAAAAATGTGTAAGTCTGCAACTGGACCTCATGATGTCTCACTATTAAAAATTTTTAATAAAAAAAATGGGGAGAGAAAATGAAGAGACACTCCTTAGAGGAAGCCAGGCTGGAGGGCCAGAAGGCACATGGAAACATACTCAGCATTACTATCCTCAGAGAAATCCAAATCAAGATGACAACGAAATACCATCTTACACCAGCAAGAATGATACATATCATTTATTAGAAACAATCTGT